TGAAATGCACCTTACGACACTGGAAGACAGAAGAGTAAGGGGAGACATGATCACAACCTACAAAATCCTCAGAGGAATCGACCGGGTAAACAAGGATAAACTATTCAACACTGGTGGGACGCGAACAAGAGGACACAGGTGGAAACTGAGTACCCACATGAGCCACAGAGACGTTAGAAGGAACTTTTTCAGTGTCAGAGTAGTTAACGGATGGAATGCACAAGGCAGTGATGTGGTGGAGGCTGACTCCATACACAGTTTTAAATGTTGATATGATAGAGCCCAGTAGGCTCAGGAATCTGTACACCAGTTGATTGACAGTTGAGAGGCGGGACCAAAGAGCCAAAGCTCAACCCCCGCAAGCACAAATAGGTGAGTACAAATAGGTGAGTTCACACACACACACACACACACACACACACACTCACACACACACACACACACACACACACACACACACACACACACACACACACACACACACACACACACACACACACACACACACACACACACACACACACACACACACACACACACACACACACAAATACCTAAATGAGGCAAAGGAGGAGATTAAAAGCCTGAAAGAGAATCCACCCCAATATTAGACACAAACCATTCCTCAGGAAGATGATAATGTATTTGTAGAAAGGACATCTACAATACAACCCTCATTTGCAGACATAATTACAATGAACACGGAAGCTGTGTCTGCGGTACGGGAAATTGCTATGAAAGTTGCTATTTCTCAGAAGCAGCAACATGTACTAGTCAACTGATAGAGAGGAATAGAGTAGTAATCGTAATAGGTATTAAGGAACAAATAGGGGCCAGTCCAGGGGTGTGGAGAGATAGGGACAGAGCCACAGTTAAAGAAATCCTTAAAGGGGAACAGATGAAGAGGGAAGAATATAATATAGAAAAGATTTTCAGGATTAGCCAGTATAACAAAGACAGAAACCGATTGATAAAAGTTGTATTCAAAAGCGAGGACACATAAACGGTATTCCTGCAGAGGGATATGACAAGGGATGAGACATTGAGGGCAGCAGCAGCAAGAAATGAGTGCTGTGGGAGAGACAGGAATCAGGAAACCTCAGCCCAGTACCCAACCATCTCCGAGGGGAGTGGCGGAATCAACCACAGGCAGCTCAACAGCCCCTTTGGGAGGAGGTTTACACCCACCTCCCACCCAATAGATACCTGCCCCAGCCCCTGCCAGCCCACCCACACTAAGAGCCTATCTAGACCACCCTTCCCCCACTCCCCCCTCTCCTCAAGGACTCCCTTCTCACCACTCTCCTCAAGGCCTCCCTTCTCCCCACCCTCCTCAAGGCCTCCCTTCTCCCCACCCTCCTCAAGGCTTCCCTTCTCCCCCCTCTCCTCAAGGCCTCCCTTCTTCCCCACCGAAAAGCCCTCCCTTCTCCCCCACCCCCCTAAGCCCTCCCTTCTCCCACACCCTCCTAAGCCTTCTCATCTGCACCACCACACTAAGCCCTCCTTTCTCCCTCGCTCCCCCCAAGCCCTTCCTCTTTCGTCCCACCACAAACACTCCTCTCTCCCCCCCCCTCAAGCCCTCCTTTCTCCAACACCCACCCCCCAAGCCCCCCATCTTTCCGCCTCCCCCCAGGCGCTCTCCCTCCCCACCCTTGCATGCCCTCGCTTTTCTACCACCCCGCCTCTCTTCTCCCTCACCTTCTCAAGCCTTCCTTTATCAACCCCCCCCCCCCCAATCCTTCCCTCCAACCCCACTCTCTCCATACCAGATCCCCCCAGCTCCCTCACAGCCCAGGTCCCCTTTCCACCCAGCCGACATCACAACCCAGGTCCCCCCCTTTCCCCCTTCCCATCCCGGAGGAGCCCTGTTTCCCTTCTCCAGTGAAATCAACAGAAACTGAGGATAGACAGTAAAGAGTTGTCGGAAATTTCCGACACCCCAAATTCTAAACCTTGACAAAATAAGATCAGATACGTTGTGTCAAGATGCTAGTCTAACTAACCATACAAACAGAAATTCTAGAATATGCTAGGGACAATTGCATCAGCCGCCACATGTACGAGGTGACTATTCTTTTGCCTAGAACTTGATAGAAACTGTATCCAATCTGCTTTCGTTTGCGGTTGTTATCCTACATAGAGTTTACATAATGTTCATAGTAATTGAGTAGAATAAATACCCATATAAATTAGCTTTTACCTACTTTCATTGGAAAAGTTGCACTGAAAATTTGTGCCGCAACAATCAGCTGGTAAGAAGGGGGAGCGCCGCGCCATGAGGTGAGCTGCTGAGCACCTGGCGAGAGAGGCGGACGCATCACCGTGCTCTCCAGATAGACGTCATATTTGTGCTTATAGCCACAGAATTGTCTCATTCGGAGGAGCAAATAATGCAGCAGAGTCGTGCTGTTGAACTGATTACCACATAGCAAACTGTCGCATTCTCCAAGGACGTGTCTCGGTTATATCATATTTTATTTCCTTGTTGGGAGCTCTTAACATTGAAATTTCAACCAGGTTACGAGGCCTAATTAACAACAAACCCGAGTAAGCCTCTCATTTTCATTAGGTATCATTTCGTAGGTAATAATGCAAATATTGTAGGCTGTTGCAGTTGGTACATTGTATTACCCCGGCAGATCTACGTTGGCGACGTGAGAGAGGAGTCCACCAGTTCCAACATGTTGGAGTTCCCACATATAGAGTTCATAACATCCCTCCCCGTCCTTAAATAAAAATTAAATTAACTGAAGGTTAATTTAATTTTTTGACTGCAGGTGAGTACAATACTGAATACTCATAATCAAATCACAATTGTTTACACTGAGCTTCCTAAGGACTAATATATAGACTTCCTTCCCAATATATATAACACTTATGTAACACTATCTTATGTCATATACCTTGGCCAAGGTATATGACAATTGAAATACAATTCGAAATACATAAGCAACACTCATGCAAAACCTGTAAAAGAAATTTAATATGATATTTAACAAGGTACTTGTAAGAAAAGAACAATTTGCATCTTTACTACTGTAATGAGTTCATTACCTCCAATGGAATGAAATATCAAAATATGGAAATAATCCAAAGATCAGTAGTTGACATAACACTCTGTATATGAAAACATTTACAACTCACTGGGGCCACTGTACAATATACTTTTTCATCATTACATTCTGAAACATTGTCGCCCCACTTTAGTGTATCTATAAGTGTTCACCTTGGATTCTTAACACCTTTATCTCTCCAAAGCACTATCTTATTTTGTTCACCCAAATACCTAAGGTAGATTCTCACTCTCTGCTCATCACAACATTTGCTCCTACTATACTCACGACACTTAGCAAGATTCAGATGAGTTTCAAGTACAATAAAAACATTCCAATAAATGGCAGTCTGGACAACAAAATTTAATATAGAAGGTATCCAGTTAACTTGTTTCACCCTTAGCTTGGTAGTAATCCAATAACACCACAATGCACACTTTAGTAATAAGGAAAAGTTACAACACACCAGCACAACAAGGTAAATTACTTATTCAATATCCTAAAATGCACTATCTTATGTAACAGCACATCTTATGGAACACTATCTTATGTAACAGCACATCTTATGGAACACTATCTTATGTAACAAACAGATAGTACAGATTCAACAAATTTCCTCCTGAAGTATTTCAACAGGTAGATATAAGTTACCTGGACCAGGGTGCAGTGAACTCTGACAATTACAACTCGGTTGAGGATAACGAGTTGTACACTTCTTGAGCTGGAACATCCTGGGTTGTATGAGTGGATAGGTTTCCATTGGTTTCCATTCCTTTTCTGTAGAGTTAATTAGCTGATATGAATTGGCCTAGATGAGGGGTGGTTGAAGGAATTCTCCTGATGAATCGGGTTGATCTGGTATAAACCCTTCAGGAACAGCTGGTCCTCATCACTCTGGATCTTCTGTGAAACAAACAGCCTCGGCCAAATATCAATAAAAGTAGAAGAAACAGAGTTTGACCACTCCTACACATCCGAAACTTCTTCACTCTTCGAACCACCAACAGTACAACCGGATTTATAAGTTGACCTCTTATGCCTGTTGAAATAGACAATAACAACCAGGAAAAGCTTTTTGAAAAGCAGGGGTTGAAATTGCTTTCAACCTGTCTCATAATCAGACAGTAGGTCTCAACTCAGGATGCAAGGAATACTACGAGTTAACCACATGATCTCTTCTCTTGCAATGCATGCAATGACTACCTGTGGTCAAAACAGCCGAACCAACTGCAGGATTAGACACTATAATATTTGAAGGGTGACAACCCTGTTTGATTTTTCTAAAACTTTGGCTTTACAGGAGAAAAGTTCAGGGGAGTAGGTGGGTTAGTTGGTCTGGTCTGGAAAACATGAGATTTAGGAACATGATAATTACACTTAGAATTATAAGTATTAGATTGTGCTCGCAAAGGCACATTAGTGAGTAACTCATGTTCGTCTGCTAGTTTGCCAAGTTGAATAACATCAGTAGTTTGTTTATGCTCAGCTGTGAACACGGCTAATTTATCTGGTAGACAACCTAAGATCTCTTCTGTCACTTTGATTTTTTCTGTCTCAAAATATGTAATTGAAAGTGCTTTTACCCTTCTATCAAAATGATTAAGTTTAACTCATGCAAAATCAAAAGTGGTCTGATCATGTGTTCTCTTTAAACCTCTAAATTGTTGTCTATGGGCCTCTGGGATCTGCTGGTATGCATTTAAGATGCTATATTGAAAAAAATTAAAGTCAAAATAATTCTCGGCAGGAAAAAATGCAAAACTTCCTGGGATTTCCCTGTAAATTGTCCTTGCATCATGGAAACCCACTGACCCACAGGCCAATTCATACTGACTGCTAACTTCTGGAAATGAAAAAGTAATATTTCTGGAACCTCCTCATAGAATTGAGGTAAATTTTTATCTTTCCGAAACTTTGGATGATTATCAGTACTACTACTAGTGTTACCTTGCCCTGCTGCAATTCTCTGTTCCTCTAATCTGTTATTATTTATTGCTATACTCTGTTGAATTTCTAACTGCTTAATTTGCTGCTCTGCTTGTATAGTTTGATGCTCTGCTTGGTGCCTCCTAACTTCCTCTATTTGCAGCTGAGCCTCAATCCTTCTGTTCTGTGTTACACTTGTTGCTGTTTATTATGAACTTCAAGCTCCAGCTGTTTTTGTTGGTCTGAGCCTCAATCATCTGCTGCTGTGTCTCCAACTCCAGTTGTTTTTGGTAGTTCTGCATCTCAATCTTCTGTTTCTCTACTTCTAACCTAGCCATCTCCAATTTAGATTCCATTTCTAACTTTAGAATTGCCACCTAGTAACTTGACTCTTCTTCCAATTCCTCTAACCACTCCTCGTCAAGTTTCTCCTCCTCCACCAGGTGTGTGACATTGACTTTTACTATCTAAGCCATTAATATTCTCTTGGAAAATGTCAGATTAAAATTTTCAGCCATGTATAACAAGCTAGACTTTTTTCAAGTCATCAATTTCACCAAAGTTTGGCTGCTCCAAAACACAGCAATTTATTCCTCCATTGTCAGCTAAATTAGCACAACTAGTAATTACAACAACACTGAAGGTTTGCCTCGCTCCTGGCACAAGCTGTACACTTACCTCAATCGTGAAGTATTGAGGAAACTTCCACAAACAGCTGAGAATGAACAGAGAAATGGTACACAGGGTTGGTTGGGTAACACCATATAAACACACAGTACCTAAGAAAGCATTAACAATTAAGGACATGTACCACTATTTAGATCATTGAATTATGGGAATTAATTCTCCCAGGCACAGGACCCTCATTTTGTTATGCCCTTTGACCTCTGGGTATGGTTCCTCTGCTTTTGCAGTTGTAAAATATATATAAATGCGGCCTTGCCCACAACAATTGTCTAGGGATAAAAAAGTCAACCACTTAATATGCAAAGCAATATACTTTAAGTAAGGGTAACAAAGGAAAATACTAACAAACAAATGAAATACAGGCAGCCAGAATTATTATTACACCAGAATGAAATAACACAATATAATTATATATAAGCACTGATCACTATTTTATATCTTAAAAGAATACATGGATATACTTAATATAAATCTACCAGATACATAGTTATGTTAATTAAGCAAAAACAAGCTCCACAAACTTATCTACTAAATCACAGATCCTTTCCAGACAGCCCCTAACACACTACTGACTTGGCTAGACTCCTGCCTCGTGGCCTCTACCTATTACCAACTAAGGATCATATGGAATCTCTAGATACTCTGCTGTCTGAGAGTTATTCTTATGAATATATTTGTAAATACACTAATATATATATTTAGCACTAATAAGATGTAATTAAAAGAAATGTACATACAAGAAAACTGAATAATTATCGGGGCAAATCAGTGACGCTATGTTGGGTACACTGCACGAATCATTGGAACATCCATATATGGTCATGCACCCCACGAGACGCCACGCCCCCCCCCCCCCAACATGAATAAACATGCAATAGCAGTAACTGAGAAATAGATCCTTCGAGCACACTACAGTATGCTAGCGTTAACTCAAACATATACACTTGAAAAAATGGACATTATGGTTAATCTCAAATAACTGAGGAAAGAATAATGAACATACATGTTTATCATGATAAATGTTAGAATCAAGTATTATGGATTCATAACAGAGTACCACATATGTAAGACCAATCCTGGAGTATGCGGTCACAGCATTGAGCCCGTACCTTTTGAAGTACAAGACGAAGCGGAAAAAGATCAGAGGTATGCCACTATGGTTTTCCCCAGAATAAGATGCATGAGTTACTAGGAAAGGCAGCGTGAAATGCACCTCATGACACTGGAAGATAGGAGAGTAAGGGGAGACATGATCACTACCTTCAAAATTCTCAGAGGAATTGACAGGGTAGATTAAGATAAACTGTTTAACATGGGTGGAACGTGAACAAGGAGACACAGGTGGAAACAGAGTAACAAAATGAGCCACAGAGACGTTAGAAAGAACTTTTTTTAGTGTAGGAGTAGTTAACAGATGGAATGCATTACACAGTAATGTGGTGGTGGCTGACTTCATATGCAGCTTCAAATGTAGATATGATAGATATGATATGCGAACAAGATTGAATGGTAACCAAGCATACATGTGAATGAAAACTCCACACCCCAGTGTGACTCTAACCCGGACTGCCAGGAGTACATTGCAACTGGTGTACATGGCACCTTAAACCACTCGACCATCAGTGACCATACAAAAAGTGGTGATTGCCGAGGCTATTTGAACCACCACCTCAACGGTACTTTGATGGTAATGTTGGGCGTAGCCTTTCATCAAATCACCTAATTTTTATGGGGGACCCGTGAGCAATACAACACCGTCAGAGTGGTTTTGTAGGATTTTGTCAGAGCTTGAAGCAGAGGATCAAGGAAAAAGATGAGAGTTGCAAGTTCGAGGGGAACGCAGATATCCCACAAGTTTTGTTTTCTGATGAGTGTGTAGTGTTACAGGTTGTCCTTGGGTGTTTCCCAGGTAATATGGTATTCATCGACCAGATGATAAGACCCCTAACACTGTGGTTGGATTATTTTACGTCATCAGGAGAAAGTAACTTGCTGAGTGAGTTTCAGAGTAAGTGTTATCCATGCTTCAGAATGGTTCTAATACTTTCATGGGAGGTCAAGATAGCTATAAAGGATTGTTTGGTGATAATGTTCACAGTTAGAAGGGGTGAGCTTATTCTTGTGATATTGTTACCTTGTCTGGGAGCTTTTATGTTATAACATTCTGATAGTTCTTGCAGAGTGGGGAAGAGACAGACTTATTTGTCCAACACTAATGGTCATCCGAATCAGTTCAAACAGGTGTTCCTTGCACTTTTCCTGGTTGTTATTGTCTGTTTCAACAGGCATAAGAGGTCAACTTCTAAATCCGGTTGTACTGTTGGTGGTTCCAAGAGTGAAGAAGTTTCGTGTGTGTAGGAGTGGTCTAACCCTGTTTCTTCTACTTTTAGTGACCTTTGGCCGAGGCTGTTTGTTTCACAGAAGATCCAGAGTGATAAGGAGCAGCTGTTCCTGAAAGGTTTATACCAGACCAACCCCATTCATCAGGAGAATTCCCACAACCACCCCTCATCTATGCCAATTCATCTCAGTGAATTAACTCTACAGAAAAATAGTAGAAACCAATGGAAACCTATCCACTCATACAACCCAGGATGTTCCAGCTCAGGAAGTGTACAACTCGGTATCCTCAACCAAGTTGTAATTGTCAGAGTTCACTGCACCCTGGTCCAGGTAACTTATAACTTCCTGTTGAATTGCTTCAGGATGATATTTGTTGAACCTGTACTATCTGTTTACTTAAGGTAGTGCATTTTAGTTTGATAAGAAAGTACTTTACTTTGTTGTGCTGGTGTGTTGTAACTTTTTTCGTAATTAATAAAGTGTGCATAGAGGAGTTATTGGATTACTATCAGGCTAAGGGTGATACAGTTAAGTGGAAACCTTCTATATTAAATTTTGTTGTCCAGACTGCCATTTATTTGGATGTATGTATTGTACTTGAGTCTCATGTCAATCTTGATAAGTGTCGTGAGTATAGTAGGATCAAATGTTGTGATGAGCAGAGAATGAGAATCTACCTTAGGTATTTGGGTGAACAAAATAAGATAGTGCTTTGGAGAGAAAAAGGTGTTAAGAATCCAAGGTGAACTCTTATAGATACACTAAAGTGGGGCGACAGTGTTTCAGAATGTAATGATGAAAATGTATATGTTACAGTGGCCCCAGTGAGTTGTAAATGTCTTCATATAAAGAGTGTTATGTCTACTATTGAACTTTGGATTATTTCCATATTTAGTTATTTCATTCCATTGGAGTTCATGAACTCATTACCGTAGTTAAGATTCAAATTGTTCTTTTCTTACAAGTACCTTGTTAAATATCATATTAATTTTTTAAATCTTGTGCATGAGTGTTGCTTATATATTTCTAATTGTATTTCAATTGTCATATACTTTCTATATATTAGGAAGGAAGTCTATATTTTAGTCCTTAGGAAGCTCAGTGTCAACAATTATGATTTAATAATGAGTATTCAGTATTGTATTCACCTGCAGTTAAAAAAATGAAATTAACCTTCATTTAATTTCATTTTTATTTGAGAACGGGGAGGGATGTTATGATTCCATAATACTTGATTCCTATCTCTCACCCTGGGGCTTGAATACTTTGATTTAGCATACTTGCAGTGTAGCATGATGCTGGCCTCTTCGACACCTATTGCATGTGTTCAGTGGGGTCTCACAGTTGTTTGCATTATGCGGTTTGAGACACCTGGTGCATCTGTGTAACTGCTTGAGTCGTCTGACTCGGGAGTCTCGGTTAAGATAACTTGTGCAGTGATATAAAGAATGATCTTGATGTCAAAATAGACATAACCCCCAGCCTACAGCATGTTTAAGGGTCACCGATTTAGATGAAAAAATAACTTAAGGTTTTGAGAGATTTGCTGCTTGCATATTCTTACTGCTTTGTTTCTTCCCCTTTAGTGCAGAAGTGTTTGATTTATGTTTCTTGGGTGTATTTATTTTACTCTTAAGTCTCACTGATAGATCAGTTTTTGACCCATTAGTATTAGATTGATTGATAGTACCCTAAGGGCTGTATCATCTTAGGAGGTCCAGTTTAAGAATTTGCTGTGAATACTGTTTCTGTAGATTTGATGTAGGCTATAAGTGCCCGGTTTCCTTGTCTTTTTTTATGACTAAATGCAAACCTTCTATGATATCCTGCATTGTCAGGATGGGGTTATTCTGATATGTGTATAACTCATTAAGCACCTCGCTGGACAATTTTCTTTGGATGACAATTTTAGTCATTCAATCAGTAGTGGGTTGAACCACTTCACTACTGAAGGATTATAGCGGTGACACGAGTTTTAGGCTAAAGTCTTGTAAAGAGTCAACTGATTGATCTGGAAGGGTTAAGTCCAGTAACTGGTGCACGAATGATATGATAGCCTTTTCTTTATCATTAGGACTACCACTATTTTGGTTTAAAGTTTCTGATTCAGCTTCAGCCTTTAATTCAGCTTCAACTTTTGTTTCAGCTTCACCCTTAGGTTCACCTTCGAGGCATGGTAATTCAGTAGCCTCATGTATAGAGTTCTCAGAATCCACCGAATGTTTGGATACGTTTTGTGAAAACTGTTCACTTTCTCTTAGTGTTGTGTTGGGTGAAGCTGTGTTGGATGAGGGTGTAGAAAATAAAGTTTTAACCTCAATTATTTATCTAGTGTAAGGATCAACTTCGAATAGAAGTTCAGCTTCAAATTGATCTAGCCAATTTATTTCATTTGATGAACTGGGTACTTAATCTTGTTCAAACATTCTTTTATAATGCTCCAACTCGACACAAATATCTTCTTCATAATCGGCCAGGTCAGATAGGATTTGCTTCCTTTAGTCAGCTTCAGTATCACTGGCAAGGAGCTTGTTTCTGTAAGACTTGTTCATTCTCTTCATGTGAGCAATTTTTTTTCTCTAAGACTTGTAATTTAATTTTCAGCTGATTATGATCAACTGGATACTTTCATGTAACAATTTCATATTGGTTAAGTAATTTTTCCACGTGAGTTTGGAATGATATTAGAGGAGGTTTCGTGCTCTTTAAGTTAGCCATGATGATTATCCTGTTTAAGTTTTACAAGGCTTATATAGCTATTATTGACAGCTATAGTACTTGCTCATATATTCGAGGAGTAAGTACAGTTATTATTAGCCTAGAATACAAATTCTACATTGGGCTATACAAATCCTACCTCCTGTGGAGGTTTGCATACAATTTAAGATTAAATATTAAAAAGTTAAAAAATAAACTATACTCATGAAAAGAACGGTATACATAGCTCAATTCCAATGCAATGTCACACAAAATAATTAAACCAACAAAATTAAATCGAAATCTATGAAAATTCAGCTTATCAGTGATGTCAGAAACTTTGAAATGGAATCCTAACATATTTAGTATAGCGTGTGTTGCTCTTACATGCAACATACGGAGTTGTTTCTTAAAAAATAAGGTTTGTAATTGTCACAGGTGTGTCATCTATACTTATACTTGGAAATAAACGGTATGGTAAACAACACAGTTCAATTCCAACGCAATGTCACACAAAATAATTAAATCAAAATGAAAATAAATTGAAATCTATGAAAAATCAATTTATCAATACAATCAGAAACATTGAAATGGAATTGTAACATATTTAGTACAGCGTGCGTTGCTATTATGTGCAACAGATGGTGCTTTTTTCAAACAAAGTATGTTTTACTTGTCTCTGGTGTGGCATCTATATATAGTAGGTATATAAAAACATGTGGATATTCGAATGGAACGTTGTGTCAAAATTTCAAGCATTCGGTAAAGAAGGTTCAGAGATTACAGCGTCTGTTGCTCTTATGTCCAACACATACCTGGTTGATACCTGGCTGATGGGGTTCTGGGAGTTCTTCTACTCCCCAAGCCCGGCCCGAGACCTGGCTTGACTTGTGAGAGTCCACCAGGCTGTTTCTTGGAGCAGCCCGCAGGGCCACATACCCACCACAGCCCGGTTGGTCCGGCACTCCTTGGAGGAATAAATCTAGTTTCCTCTTGAAGATGTCCACGGTTGTTCCGGCAATATTTCTTATGCCTGCTGGGAGGGTGTGGAACAACCGTGGACCTCTGATGTTTATACATTGTTCTCTGATTGTGCCTATGGCACCCCTGCTCTTCACTGGTCCTATTCTGCATTTTCTTCAATATCGTTCACTCCAGTACGTTGTTATTTTACTGTGTAGATTTGGTACTTGGCCCTCCAGTATCTTCCAGGTGTTTATTATTTGATATCATTGGTGTATATTATTTGATATATTTGATATCCCCCCACAGCAGCACTCCAGAACACCACCAAAAGCAACAGAGCACGAACTGGAGAATGATATGAGCGAGAGGCGACGCCCCCGAGATAAAATGGACACAGAACACCAGCACGTGTGCACACCGCCCGAAACCAAAACAAACACCCACGGCGCATGCGCAGGACAAGAAAGAAATGTTGCCCAACAGGTTGGGCTACACAGGTCCATCCTACTCTGTCCAACAACAGAGCAGGAAAGTAGCTCAACGGGTCGAATCCCGAGCGATCCGTTGAAGAAACAGGCCAACTCACAGAAACAGAAGCCAACTTAGCCGGCCCATGGAAGGAAAACAACGAACCGAAACGGAACCCAAGCGGGCCACCAGTAGCCCAACATGGCGAGAAGTAGCCCAACCAGCTACCAGTAGCCCAACCGGCTACCAGTAGCCTAACCGGCTACAAGTAGCCCAACCGGCTACAAGTAGCCCAACCGGCTACAAGTAGCCCAATCCGGCTACAAGTAGCCCAATCCGGCATCCCGGACCAAAACAGAAGGAAAACGAGCAGTGCCGAGACAGCGCGAAGAGAAGAGATATGAACAAAAGAACGAGAAGGCCAAACACCCAGAAGCTGCCCAGAATAGGACCCACAAGCCCTAGAAAGGACAGGAGGGAAGCCCCACCGAACGACGACAGACGTACCAGTAAAACGGGAAGGAGCAAAACCGTTCCGAACCTTCGAGAATATAAAGAAGCAAACACAAAGGACGAAGGCACAGAAAACCCAGTCGCACCTAGGACCAAAAGTCATGCAGAACCCCAAGAAGAGGGGAACATGACGGAGAAGTCCTGTCCAGGAAGAAAGGGGCGAAGACCGTAGAAAAGCACCCACCTACAGGACGGAAGCAACGGGCATAATGGACAAGGAACCAAGCCCGGGGAGGGGCCGACGCCCAAAAACTCGTGTGGAGAGGAGGGAAGGAAAAACCCCACACCACAAATCCGCAAGCCCCGCCCATAGGAGTAGAAAAACCCCGGCGAGGACCAACGGGGCCTGAGGCCCCCCCACGTTAGCCCTACCCCAGACTTGGGAACCCACCCTGCAGGCCCCGGGGCCGAGCTGTCCACCCAAAGCCCCAGCGTCAAGAAAAAACTGGGGCAGCTGTAAAAAGCACTAAGGAAGGGAGCCCACTGGCAGACTCTTACAACACGGCTGGAGGAAACAGGCTCGAATGCCCCCGTCGCTACCCCGGAAGGGGAAGTCCCCAAGACCAACCGAGTCTCAAAACCATGGAAGGCCCGCCCCGACCCGGAACCCACAGACGGTAAAGATCCAGATGTAGGGAAGAAGGGGGGACCCAACAAGACCACCAACGTCAACGGGGCAGCCTCAGGGCTTCCGGGAAGCAAACAACTAGCGCATTGCCACTGAAACGCAATGTGCAACGCCTGTGCAGCCTGCACCCACATAGTCAGCATAAGACTGGGTAGCCGAGTCACAAACAAGCAACAAAACTTGCAGGATCCCGGGCCGAAGGTGTCACTGACCCCACAGGCTGCAGACGGAGGCAAAACCGTGAGAGTCACCCTGAGACAAGGTGACAGAGCAACCCTCAAACTCGCACAAAGAGAGGGGGGGGGGGGGACTCCGGGGCCACATATATCGAGCCCACGTTCCCCTCTAGGGGTTTCCCAGGGTCCCGAGCGTTTACTATAAGAGGACTCACGCTCAGGTAATCCCAGGCAGGGTACTGCTAACCGGCACCATGGCTACCAAACAACATTCTAAAAGCAGAACCCCCGGGATGTGTACACTCACAGGGACCTAGCAGGGGGAACCACTGGAAGAAGGAAGAGAACTTGGCACAAAGGGAGAAAGAACCAAAGGCAGAGCCCTCACCAGGTAGACAAACAAAAAGAAAAAGAAAACCCCGCAAGAGTACAGTGTATGCAGGCGGAACAGAGCCTGCCGCTATGATTGGTGAAAACAAGCTGCACAGTACCCTGCGCCCTGCCAGTGCAAAATTGCCCCTTACCCTAAGGAGAACAAGGGAGACAGAACCCCCAATCACACAAAGGGCGCCCGAAAACCGAGCAGCAAATGGCCTAGCAGAAGTAGGATCCAAAGAACTTGTGGAAGGTAACCCCAAGCCCCAAGGGCAGTACTTACAGGGCACCTAGGGAAGGGAACCCTAGGCGCATGCAGCCCGAGTACTGGAGACTCACTCCCGGCTCAGGCACCACCTAGAAAACAGACACCACACTCTAGGTACAGTGCTGAAACAACCATTGGAGCCGGAGCACACAACCGGTGCCACTAGCATCAGCCAAAGAACTGAGGTGTGGATTGCCGGCACAATAGGTCTGGGATAGGTAGGGAGACCTACCGCCGGCGCGGTAGGTACCCCTTCCCCCTCCCGAGGAGGGGGGGGGGCTGCGCAGACAGCGACGCGACGACGAATAACGTCACACCAGCCCACTCGCACATGGTGCGGTTTTTCAAAAAAAGCAACTTTTTTCCTGTCACAGGTGAGGCATGCATATGGTAGGTATATAAAACCACGCACCTCTTCGAATGCAACAATGCGTAAAAATTTGAAAGCAATCGGTAAAGAGCTTTCGAAGATTTCCCTTACATGAAAACACAGTTTTCCAAAAGAAGCCTGTTTTTTCCTGTCACAGACGTGACATCTATAAAGTATGTATAAAAAAGCTCGCTTGGAGGCTAATGAAAAGTTGTGTGAAAATTTCAAAGCAACCGATGAAGAACTTTCGGAGATTAGCGATTTTTAACAAACCAGCATTTCCATTTTTATTTCTATAGACTAGTTGTACCTGTCCACACATTGCTGTGTCTCCGCAACGCACGTGCGTTGCTGAGCCACAGCAATCTTCCCCTGTCTCCTAGTCTTCCCACCATTCTCACCCCCCATTCCTCACTCCCCCTGTCCCCTTATCTTCCCAACCGTTCCCCACTCCCGTCCCCTCGTCCTCACCACTATTCCCCCCCCCCTCCTCCATCCCTTTGTCCTCTCCACCATCTCCCACTCCCCAGTCCCTGAGTCCTCCCTACCATTCCCCCTCCCTCGTCTCCTTGTTCTCCCCACCATCCCCCACTCCCGTCCTCTTGTCATCCCCACCATACCCCACTCCCTCGTCCGATGCATTCCCACATGATCTGATATTCCCATCAGAAAATTGGGAACATCCAATGATCTGATATTTCCATCATTGAATTATAAGAAAAAAACAGTTAAAAAGCGAAATACAAAACAATGAAAAAATTAAATAATAAACTATACTCACGAAATGAACAGTATGGTAAACAAAATAGCTCAATTCCAACGCAATGTCACACAAAATAATTAAATCAAAATGAAAATAAATCAAAATATATGAAAATTAAATTTGTCCAATTTAATTTAATTTACTGTCTATCCTCAGTTTCTGTTGATTCCACTGGAGAAGGGAAACAGGGAGCTTCCGGGATGGGAAGGGGGAAAGGGGGACTTGGGTTGTGAGGTGAGCTGGGTGGAATGGGGACCTTGGTTAACTGGTTATCTGGTTGATGGGGTTCTGGGAGTTCTTCTACTCCCCAAGCCCGGCCCGAGGCCAGACTTGACTTGTGAGAGTTTGGTCCACCAGGCTGTTGCTTGGAGCGGCCCGCAGGCCCACATACCCACCACAGCCCGGTTGGTCCGGCACTCCTTGGAAGAAACAATCTAGTTTCCTCTTGAAGATATCCACGGTTGTTCCTGTAATATTTCTGGTGCTCGCTGGTAGGACGTTGAACAACCGTGGACCTCTGATGTTCATACAGTGTTCTCTGATTGTGCCCATGGCACCTCTGCTCCTCACTGGTTCTATTCTGCATTTTCTTCCATGTCGTTCACTCCAGTACATTGTTATTTTACTGTGCAGATTTGGGACCTGTCCCTCCAGTATTTTCCATGTGTATATTATTTGGTATCATTCTCGTCTCCTTTCTAGTGAGTACATTTGGAGAGCTTTGAGACGATCCCAATAAAAAAACAGGAAAATGAGTTTTTTTTTTATTATTTTTTTTTGTGGTAGGAGGAGAGAGGGAGGGCTCTGGGAGGACGAGGGAGAAAGGAGGGCTTAGTGGGGGGGGGGGGGGAGATGGGAGGGCTTAGGAGGGTGTGGAAGAAGGGAGGGGTTATGGGGTGGTGGAGAAGGGGGGCTTTTGGGTGGGGAAGAAGGGAGGGCTTGGGGGAGATGGGGGGGGGGGGCTTTGAGGGGTAGTGGGGAAGGCAGGGCTTGGGGGTGGGGGAGAAGGGAGGCCTTGAGGAAAGGGGGGATTGGTGGGAGGGTTGCCTAGGTAGGCTCTTATAGTGGGGGTGGGGATGACACTGGGCTGGGGCAGGTATGGCATTTATTGGGTGGGAGGTGGATGTGAACCTCCTCCCCATTGGGGCTGTTGAGCTGCCTTTGAAGGGTTCCCCACCCCTCTCTGAGATGGTTGGGTACTGGGCTGAGGTTTCCTGATTCCTGTCCTGCTGCTGCCCTCAATCGCTCCTACCTTGTCATATCCCTCTACAGGAATAACGTTTTGAACTTTGTTACATTGAATAATGCACTCTTCATTGCTTCACTCTTCTTTTTATGTGTCCTTGCTTGTGAATACAACATTTATCAATCGGTCTCTGTTCTTGTTGTACTGGCTTAGCCTGAAAGCCTTTTCTATATTATGCTCTTCCCTCTCCATCTGTTACCCTTTAAGGATCTCTTTAACTGTGGCTCTGTCCCTATCTCTCCACACCCCTGGACTGGCCCCTATTTGTTCCTTAATACCTATTACGATTACTACTCTATTCCTCTCTATCAGTTGACTAGTACATGTTGCTGCTTCTGAGAAATAGCAACTTTCATAGCAATTTCCTGTACCACAGACACAGCTTCCGTGTTCATTGTAATTATGTCTGCAAATGAGGGTTGTATTGTAGATGTCCTTTCTACAAATATATTATCATCTTCCTGAGGAATGGTTTGTGTCTAATATTGGGGAGGATTCTCTTTCAGGCTTATAATCTCCTCCTTTGCCTCATTCAGGCATTTGTGTGTGTGTGTGTGTGTGTGTGTGTGTGTGTGTGTGTGTGTGTGTGTGTGTACTCACCTAGTTGTGCTTGCAGGGGTTGAGCTCTGGTTCTTTGGTCCCCGCCTCTCTCCACTCCCCTGGACTGAGGAGTTGGGGAGTCACCACTCTCTGGGTCGGGCCGAAAGAGCAGAGTAAATTGACTGAAGACGGAAGGGCACCACCAGGAGTGGAGCCTGCGGCTTAATTTGACTCAACACGGGGAACCTATCACTATCATCAATACTTTCTTCATTGAATCCAGCAAAATCAAGGTCTGTTTTGTATTTCCTCTTGCCGGCGGCCATCTTGAATGTTCTTCTCTGCACTGGAAACACTAGGGCAACTTTTTCTCATCCAATTTTCACTTCCCATGGCACATTCCTGTTATCTCACCTATTTTTCAAAAGCACTATACCTTTATGTTCTCTGGGACACCACTCACTATCATCATCCTGTACTACAATACTTAGGATTGTTGAAATATGCTGGAGCTCCTCTTGTCTGCCTCTTGGGAAAGAACTTGGGATAAGATTCCAAGTGTGTGTGTGTATGTGTGTGTGTGTGTGTGTGTGTGTGTGTGTGTGTGTGTGTGTGTGTGTGTGTGTGTGTGTGTTTGTGAGTGTGTGTGTTTGTGAGTGTGTGTGTGTGTGTGTGTGTGTGTGTGTGTGTGTGTGTGTGTGTGTGTGTGTGTGTGTGTGTGTGTGTGTGTGTTTGTGAGTGTGTGTGTTTGTGAGTGTGTGTGGTGTGTGTGTGTGTGTGTGTGTGTGTGTGTGTGTGTGTGTGTGTGTGTGTGTGTGTGTTAAGTTAACACATAACCTAGGAGAAAGGCATTCAAAAAGCATTAAAGGGAACTTTCGATCTCTCCCAATTCAGATCTCTTCCTCTTTTGTCCTACTGCGCCCTACGTTTATATTAGCTTTATTTGCCTATACATACATCATAGTAAAGCACTATCCAGAATAATCGAAATGAGTATTGCATGAATTATCAATGAAGAAACATGAATCACCCAATGACAATGTATCCAATATACTCTGTGAACCAGATAGTGGTTCAGAAAGTATCTTTGAACCAATATCCCTAGCTCTCTTCCCTGTGGAACTAATGCCACACTTTGTTGGGCGAGGCTTATAATATGCAAATGTGGCTCACCTCCTGGTAATTGCCGCCTGTGATAACACTGTAATTTGAGACCAATTGCAAGCTCGTACCATCTTTGTGCTGGCCTTGTGGGCCGAGTGACCAAGAATGGCGTTGGCTTGACGTTGAAATTTAAACTTAAAATGCTCTTTGTATCAGGAATACACGTAATAGGGCAATCACCGGACATGATGTTTAATTAATTTATTATATATTTAGGTAAAAACTGCTCTGCTGCTAATTAAGGCGATTAATTGTTATTTTAATGAACACATCTGACGGTTTTTTTTTAGTTGGGAACCTTTAAATATATGAATGAAGGTAAGCTGAATATTTATTGGCCGAGGCGAGGCAGCTGCAAATGACACTAATCGAATCCCAAATGTTAAACCAGTGCTTAATTCACGTCAATTATATCCCGTCTATTATCCTCCCAGGTATTTTTTCCAATAAATTTACATACATATTCCGAAACCAGAATTGACCCATTGCACAAAAATGGGGTAATGCGCACCATTTGACGACAGTTGACAGGTGATAACCCAGTCGAAACTGATATTCCGATCACGTCCCTGGTATTACTATAATTTGTGTATTATAGTGTTGTAGGGAAATTAATAGGTCTACCCTTCATGTAAATTGTAAATTGATGGGTGCAAAGGTGAGATGGACATATGAGTTTTCAGTGATATATATATATATATATATATATATATATATATATATATATATATATATATATATATATATATATATATATATATATATATATATATGTCGTACCTAGTAGCCAGAACGCACTTCTCGGCCTACTATGCAAGGCCCGATTTGCCTAATAAGCCAAGTTTTCATGAATTAATTGTTTTTCGGCTACCTAACCTACCTAACCTAACCTAACTTTTTCGGCTACCTAACCTAACCTAACCTATAAAGATAGGGTAGGTTAGGTTAGGTAGGGTTGGGTAGGTTCGGTCATATATCTACGTTAATTTTAACTCCAATAAAAAAAAATTTACCTCATACATAATGAAATGAGTAGCTTCATCATTTCATAAGAAAAAAATTAGAGAAAATATATTAATTCAGGAAAACTTGGCTTATTAGGCAAATCGGGCCTTGCATAGTAGGCTGAGAAGTGCGTTCTGGCTACTAGGTACGACATATATATATATATATATATATATATATATATATATATATATATATATATATATATATATATATGTATGTATGTATATATGACAGTGTTAGACCACAGAGAAAAATTGAAACAGGAATTTCCTCAAGTACTTTCGTATATTAATACATCTTCAGAAGGTGAAGATGTATTCCTTGACTCCTTCTGATGATTTATTAATATACGAAAGTACTTAAGGAAATTCCTTTTTCAATTTTCCTCCGTGGTCTGACACATTCACATTTTTAATCACGTGTTTACTTTCGTGATACACACACACACAAACACACACACACAAACACACACACACACACACACACACACACACACACACACACACACACACACACACACACACACACACACACAGAAGACCCAGTCAAGAGTACGAAAACAACAACATGGCAGTTAACACTATAATTGAGAGGGCAGCCTCTGCTGCCTGTAGAAATAGATCCCATCTGCTCATCATGGGGGACTTCAATCCAACCCGTTCTCGCAAATTCGTAAAGTCAATATTGACTTATTAAATAAGTGCATAGGTGACATACTAAACATAATAGATACCCTTAAAAAAGCTTCATAGAAAACACCGACCTTACCTAACCTTGTTAGTATCTTAAGATAAGCATCTAATAGCTTCGTAATTACAATTGTTACTTAACCTATTATAGGTATAGGTTAAGTAATAGTTGTAATTACGAAGCAATAAGATGCTTATCTTAAGATACTAACAAGGTTAGGTAAGGTCGGTGTTTTCTATGAACCTTTTTAAGGGTATCTATTATGTTTAGTATATCACCTATGCACGTAGTTAATAAGTCAATATTGACTATACGAATTTGCGAGAACGGGTTGCTTCAATCACGGCAGGATTGATTGGGAGAACAAGGAACCGCATGGAAGCGAGGATACGTGGAGAGCCAAACTACTGGAGGTGGTGACTAGAAACTTCTTAACCCAGCATGTCAGAGAACCCACATGGCTGAGAGGAAATGACGAACCAGCGAGACTCGACCTGGTCTTCACCCTGAACGACTCTGACATAAGAGAAATCGGTTTTGAGGACCCAGTAGGAATGAGCGACCACAGTGTATTGGTGTTTGAGTAACTGATTGAAGAAGGGCTATTGAACTCGAGGAGGGATATCGAAACCAAAAGGTTAGCATACCGAAAGGGAAACTATGAGGAGATAAGAAAATTCCTAACAGATATAGCATGGGAAACAGAGCTCAGGGATAAGACGGCCCAAGATATGATGCACTACATCACGCAAAAATGCAAGGCCGCAGCAAACAAGTTTGTCCCAGTCCAAAAGGAAAACAGTGAAATGAAGATGAGAAACCCATGGTTTAATCAGAGATGTAGGCTAGCTAAGCAGCAAAGTAAAAGGGCATGGAGAAACTATAGGAATAACAGGACACTGGAGAGCAGAGAAAGATACCAGAATGCCAGGAATGAATATGTCAGGATGAGAAGAGAGGCAGAAAGACAATACGAAAATGACATCGCAAGCAAGGCAAAGACTCAGCCTAAATTGCTGCATAGCCACATCAGGAGAAAAACAACAGTAAAGGAACAGGTTATGAAATTAGGGATAGGGGCAGAAGGATTCACTACAAACGACAAGGAAGTGTGTGAGGAACTGAATAAGAAATTCCAAGAGGTCCTCACCCTAGAGCAAGGAGAAATCCCAGAGATAAGAGAGGGAATAGTTAACCAGGAACCACTGGAAGAGTTTGAGATTACCATTGGGAAGTAAGGAAGTGTTTACTAGAGTTGGATGTGACAAAGGCTATAGGCCCAGATGGAATCTCCCTTTGGATACTAAAGGAAGGAGCAGAAGAACTGTGCCTCCCACTCTACATAGTGTATAACAAATCACTGGCAACAGGGGAACTGCCAGAAATTTGGAAAGCAGCTAATGTAGTCCCGATATACAAGAAAGGGGATAGACAGGAGGCACTGAATTACAGGCCAGTGTCCCTAACCTGCATACCATGCAAGATGATGGAGAAGATTGTGTGAAGAAAGCTAGTGGAGCACCTGGAGCGAAAGAACTTTGTAACACAGCATCAACATGGATTCAGGGATGGCAGGTCCTGCCTCACAGGGTTACTTGAATTCTACGACCAGGCAACAAAAATAAGGCAAGAAAGAGAAGGGTGGGCAGACTGCATATTTTTGGATTGTCAGAAAGCCTTTGATACAGTGCCGCACAAGAGGCTAGTGAAAAAACTGGAGATACAGGCTGGAGTGAAAGGAAAGGTACTCCGTTGGATACAGGAGTACCTAAGTAACAGGAGACAACGAGTCAGTGTGAGGGGTGAGGTCTCAGATTGGCGAGACGTTACGAGTGGAGTACCGCAGGGGTCGGTCCTTGGACCTATACTGTTTCTGATATATGTAAATGATCTCCCAGAGGGTATAGAATCGTTTCTCTCAATGTTTGCCGATGATGCAAAAATTATGAGGAGGATTGAAACTGAGGACGATAGTAAGAGGCTACAAGATGATCTAGACAGACTGAGTGAATGGTCCAACAAATGGCTGTTGAAGTTCAACCCGAGTAAATGCAAAGTAATGAAAATAGGCAGTGGAAATAGGATGCCAGATACAGGATACAGAATAGGAGATGAAGTACTTAATGAAACGAACAGAGAGAAAGATCTAGGAGTTGATATCACACCAAACCTGTCTCTTGAAGCTCACATAAAAAGAATAACGTCTGCGACATATGCGAGGCTGGCTAACATCAGAACAGCGTTCAGGAACGTGTGTAAGGAATCATTCAGAATCTTGTACACCACATATGTAAGACCAATCCTGGAGTATGCGGCCCCAGCATGGAGCCCGTACCTTGTCAAGCACAAGACGAAGCTGGAAAAAGTCCAAAAGTATGCCATTAGACTAGTCCCAGAACTAAGAGGCATGAGTTACGAGGAAAGGCTGCGGGAAATGCATCTTACGACACTGGAAGACAGAAGAGTAAGGGGAGACATGATCACAACCTACAAAATCCTCAGAGTAATCGACCGGGTAAACAAGGATAAACTATTCAACACTGGTGGGACGCGAACAAGGGGACACAGGTGGAAACTGAGTACCCACGTGAGCCACAGAGACGTTAGAAGGAACTTTTTCAGTGTCAGAGTAATTAACGGATGGAATGCATTAGGCAGTTATGTGGTATAGGCAGACTCCATACACAGTTTAAAATGTAGATATGATAGAGCCCAGTAGGCTCAGGAATCTGTACACCTGTTGATTGACAGTTGGGAGGCGGGACCAAAGAGCCAAAGCTCAACCCCCGCAAGCACAAATAGGTGAGTACACACACACACACACACACACACACACACACACACACATACACATACACACACATACACATACACATACACACACACACACACACACACACACACACACACACACACACGCACACACGCACACACATACACACACATACACACACACACACGCACACACACGCACACACATACACACACACACACACACACACACACACACGCACGCACACACACACACACACACACACACACACACACACACACACACACACACACACACACATATATATATATATATATATATATATATATATATATATATATATATATATATATATATATATGTAGCCGTCTTTCCTGTAGACATATATTATTAAATATGACCGAAAAAGTAAGATTAATAATTCTAACACGAATTTTCTCGACCTTTCTTACGTTTCGTTTCAATGATGATGGTAATTCAAAAATCAATTCTCGAAAATTCATTTTTATTTCTAGTCTGACGCGACACTTGAGCGTGTTTCGTAAAACTTATTACATTTTCAAAGACTTTAGTTTACACACACACACACAACTTTAACTGAATAGAGCTTAAACATCTTCGAGTTTTTTATACCTACATTTGGGTGAGGTGACATGTTACAATAGTTTTGGATGAGGTGAAAATAAACTTTTTACACAAGACAGAACACGAAACAA